ACGGTCCCCTCTCATGGGCATCGGTTTTCTGCCAAACTCAATGAAATTTTGATATGTGGTATACCTTGACTGATATTTGGACGAGAATGGAGAGTGATTTGGAAGACGCGTCACGTAACGTCACGTTGTGGGGAATTTTGTTACACGAGAGAGAAGAAAGATATAACGTAGAGAGACGACGAAAAACAGCCAATGATAATGATAGCCGACGAACGATTGATACAAACCAAGTATTATAATCAAGCCTATTATTGTCAAGCGCCGATACCCTTGTGACGTCACTACAGATGCGTGTCTCCCTTTTGTGTCGTCCTTCTAGTTTTTATTAGGTTTCACTTCTAGCACGTGTACGGCCCTGCACCATTTTTTGGATCAGGATCGGCGGCGGCAACCCTTTCCAATCGGTCATCCCTTTCAATTGGCCGCCTGTGTGTTTTGAATACACCGCACACATGGTAGCGGCGGCCCTGCATCCGCCCCTTCATACTGGTTAGTTCCCGTCTCCCTGTCTGTTATTAGGGCTGACGTCTCTATATCTCGACAAGCGTTGGGAACGGTCCCTAGATGAAGAGCATCAAAAAACGCAGATACTGCCATCCATTCCTGCATGTCTTTTCCAGCTGCAGGAAACGCCAAACTCACTAGCATTTTAACTTCCGATTCGAATTCTTGTGAATTCTTGCCGGGTTTTTAAATTCTTGATTTTACTTGAGTTCTAAACACTTCTTGTCTATAATGGTCTCCGAAGCGCAATTCTAACGTCTGACTTAGATGCTGGTAATTCTGTTGGTTTAGTGAAGGAATTGACTGAAGAAAATCTAAGGCAGGTCCTTGTAGCGCCACTATCAGTGCTGTAGCTTTTTCTTGATCACTCCATCCGTTGGTATTTGCAGCAGCTTCAAATTGTCGGATATACATGTTCCAGGGCGTAGAACCGTAAAAAGTTGATGATTCTATCTTCATACTAGAGAATGCTCCAACACTACCTGGATTGATGGTCTGTATTTCTAATTTATTCACCTTTTTTTCAAGTGCTTGAGCTTGGTCCTTAACTTCTTATCTCAAATGCTGAACATCTTCTTCAACTTCTTGAACATCGCCTTTAACTTCGTCTTTTACTTCCTCAATCTTTTGTTCTAGGTTAGCGACAGTTCCTTGTATGGTTTGAAATATTTTCTGCAGTTGTTCAATGTCTTCTTGCCGTTCTTGTTGTCGCCTATCTTCTTCTTCTTATTTTTCTTTTTGTTGTTTAGCTTCTTCTTCTTGTTTTTTCTTTTTGTCGTTTAGTCTCTTCTTGTTGTCGTCTAGCTTCTTCTTCTTGTTTTTCTTTTTGTCGCCTGGCCTTTTCGTCTTGTTTTTCTTGTTGTCGTTCAGCTTCTTCTTCTTGTTTTTCTTTTTGTCGCCTATCGTCTTTGTCTTGTTTTTCTCGTTGGCGTTTGGTCTCTTGAAGTTCCAACATTTTGCGTAGAAGTTCTTCAATTTTCGATCTTCCATTTTTGCTTGTTGTCTCGTATAATATGATAAGCATGTACAGAATGTTCTGGAATTTTCCTCAAACTCTCTTCAAATATCTTTCCTGGTTTTTGATTGAAGTTCCAAACACGTCGGTGAAGTCACAAATAATCGCACTTCTGACACCAAATTGTCACGGATTCCGGGTTCACTAAAACTTACTTCACAAACAGTAACAACTTTTACTAAACTAATTGACTTTATAAAATTCACTTATCACTTATAGATACGTACCTATACGAAAAATATCGAATTAAAACTTAAACCAAACTAATTACTACGCGCTATTTATAGTCGAATTGGCACTCGGTATCTAGCTAGATAAACATCGAATCAAATATAATAGAATTAACAGAAAAGGCGCGTCGACGTAAACAAGTACCTAATTTCTTGGAACATGGCCGGGCCGTCGATGCATTTGCGTAACAGTATGTAGTTATATTGGTCGAACAAAACAATATTTGAAAAGTAGAGTCCCTCATCACAAACTTGACTACAATGGTCTCTAAATAAAAATCCTCAAAACTGGATTGGCGATAAGTCATTTTGAACAGGGACTCAATTTTAATTCCAATGAAATCAATATTTTACACACAAAATCTACCACAACATTATAAGAAGCACTTGATACTCCAGCCTAGTGTAATTAAAATCATCGTTATAATATTATGGAAATTAAATTCATTATATTTAGGATGGTTGCTGAGTGGAAAGGACACTGCATGACTGCAGTAATTGTGTGTATTGATGTATGGCATTCTAAATCAGTATAACGTCACCACCTGTTTTTCTTTTTTTGAAAATAGATCGAAAAATTTCGAACCATAAGAATATGGGCGAGTCTCATCTGGTCGATTAATTTGACTTAAGTGGTTTCTGTTTTTATTTTTGACTGTTTGTTAGTTGATTGTAAATTTACATATTGCGCCTTTCGGCTATGTCCTTTGATTTTTTTTTTCTTAGCACTGAAGTTAACACATATCAGTATCGAAACGTTCGCTTGGAAGATAAAAGAAGCTGATATTTATTTCATCCCTTAACTCAATCTGTGGACGAGACCTTCTATCATCCTACCATTAGGTATAATTTTAAAGGTCATGTTTTCTCGATCAATTTGGGATTGATATCATCATTCTAGTAACTGAACATTAGAAATTCAAAATCGCGAGTATCTATAATTTTGACGTTTTCAAAGCTTCATCCAGGAAAAACAGGATAATTACTTCTCGGTTTGTTAAACAAACAAAATAATACATATCTACCTATCTATAAATTAATAGGAAAAAACAATAGTATTTTACATTATTAGCCAGGTAAAACAGTTTTTACTGGCGATTGAAAGAAATGACTAGCGAGCCGTTTGGCGAGCTTGTCACCTTCAAGAGCCAGTAAAAACTGATACCTGGCGTATGATGTACAATAATTTATTTGTTACTCATTTGCAAACAATAAATAAAATATTAATACATAGGTAATACAATTTTAATAAATAATTCTACTGACTCTACTGACTTGTAAAAAGTTTTTACAGTTTAGCTGTCAATTTTACAAGTCAGTAGAGCCAGTAACTGGTAAAAATCAATTTTCGTTGTTTATGTTTTGACTTGATAAATGACGTTTTACAAATGAGTGACAAATAAAAATATTTTTAAATTCGTATCCCGCCATTTGGCTAGGATAATTATTGTTTTCAAATTTAGGGAATCTATTTTGAGTTGAAATACCTTAAGGTCGACCTCGCTTTTCTCTAAGTTATCAGAGTGTCACCTACAGCTTGACCGCGTGGAGTATATGATTTAACTTGCTGTGCAAATGCGACTGAAGATTTGAGAATAAGTCAACAAACAATAAATCAAAGATTGATATGTAGATCAGAAGGGAAGTTCAATAAGTATATGTAGGTGCTATACGTTTTAAAATGGACAACTCACTTCACTGGCACTGATTTACACTAAATTGACTAAACGGATCATTAACCTCGTCAATAACACCAATCAATATACACCTTAAGCCGGGTTCAGATCAATAAATTTGTGTGTTAAATGTTGTGTGTTGAATCTGACAAAAAAGATTTGCAGCGCAAATATTTTTTTTGATTGTGATTGTCGCAAGTATGTGCGCTGCATTGGTGTAAGAATAAGCATTCGACGGTCGTTCGACGCAAATCTCTTTTGTAGTATAACATACCCGGATTCGTTCAGCAAGATTGAACGGTTTGGATTTTTATCGCTTTTTTTCAAACAAATCTTCCGAAAAACGAAATGAAAAACAAATAGGACCTATGTTGTCGAAACTTACTCAATTTTACTTGTGATATGTAAAATAAGTTATCATTAAAGAAAATCGTACCGTTCTCAACCTGGAACTCACGAGGAGAAAGAGCACGGCGGAGAAACCCTCGATCTCAATTCCTCAAAAATCAAAACATACTCTGTCATGCCAATGATAATTGTGAGTGAATAATAATTTAAATTAGGTACCGTCCCTGTCCTTGTGCTAAAATTTAAATTCCACACACTACATTCAATCAACACCACCTATATTCAATACTGAAGAGTCTTTGGTTAGTTAGCCAGTCTGCCAGCAGGTACTGAGGTCCCGTTCGGGAGGCTACTCAGCTATAGTTGTTGTTTTTGTGCCAATATCTCTAGACTGATTTTTTTGTTTGCTAGAATATTCGCCCAGTCAAGGTAGGAAAGTGTTAGTAGATTCAACAAGGCCCTAATGCATGCCCTGAATACCAAAATTAAAAATCCCAGCACAAAAGACAGCACATAATTTCTTAGGTTTTAATTTACTTTTTTATCTGCGTTGTTCACAGCATGAAACGATTTGTGTTAAATACATGAACAAAGCACATGTTATAAAATATAGTATAAACAAACGAAAAAATACTTAAAAATAAAAAAAATAATACTTGTATAAATTGAACTCTCAAAACAAAATAACATTTATTCAACTGACCTGTGAATGCTCCTTATGATACACAAACTAGTCACAAATTGGATTGAACAATCAGTAATACAAAATGAAAATTACATAATAAACAATAGCGGACAAGCTTCTTCCCTGGGTGTCTTATTTTCTGTCTACCCTTCGGTGCGCTTTCTGTGGCGCGCCTTCGTTCGACCCTACTTGACAGCGCATACATGGTTTCAAAGTTTACCATTTGCTTTTCTATCGTAAACGTTTTAAAAATTTAAGATTTGTAGAAAAAATATTTAAGATAGGTGGTTTTCCCCATTTTGAAGTTGGCAGAAAAACCGACAGAACGCGAATAGCTTGTAGTGTATTTGGCGCAAATATTTGCGTGTTTCTTTGTGCGGCGCACAGTCCACATCTATAAATATTTTGACGCACATGAGCAAATTTGCGTCAGATACTCCGCACAGCGTGAACATTTATTGATCTGGAACCGGCTTAACCTCTTTAATATATCAGCTAATTCCGATGAGATAGTTTCTGCGAGCTTTAAGTCCCGATCGCACTCATTCTCTAATATCTGAAAAGCATACTGGAGGTTTAATTTTCTCTTCTTCCATTAAAACCCTTCCATGTTCTAAACTGCAAAAAAAAAAATAATGAAAAAATAAATTGGCTCATAGATTTTATATAATATTTACTTCCTGGATACCCCCGGTAAATATTATATGAAGTTGCACGACTAACTGTAGGCGGAATATAATAATTGCGTTCCAGCTATTTTTGCGACGAAAATAGGCATGGCCAATTTACTGGTACTCATACCCAGATAATGTCCACATTCAGGATATAATTTATTTCTTGCTTGAGGTTCGAATCACGACGATAAATTTACCAAAATTATTGATATCGTACAAGGTTTTTATAAAAACTAAGGCCGATAGCCTACGTACAAAGTTACTGCTATGCTACCAGATACTTGCAATTATCTGTCATCATTTTATACAATGTGTTTCCATATATCACTCTTAGAGCTGCATTATTGCTTAGGTATAGTTTTATGATCTATCGAAATAGCTTTTGATTTGGTAATAGAAAATAAATAATATTTGTACGGAAGCCCAATATAATATAGCCATCCTCATTTTTCGAGTATAACTATATTTGTCTCAAAAAGTTGAGTTTTCTATTTAGATATTTTCTTTCGTATCTATGGCAGTTTATTGGTAGTTTTTTAGTATTTTTTTTTTATTGGTTTCTATGTTGTCAATAACTACAAATATTTTTATATATTTTTTTTTTTCAAAAATTGAAAACGAAGAGTTTTTTTTAACCAAAAATTTCAATAATATTGTAAAAAGCGAAGCCACTAAATGACAAATGAATTAATTCCAAGGCGTTTGTGTGGGCGCAATTCCAATCCTTTACCTTTAGTGATTCGAGGTAAATTATAACTTTGATGCTTGAACGCCTAACTCCGAACTAGCCACTACTCTACAAGACTGGGTATAACTTATGAGGAAAACGGATGAAGAATACTAGAAAAGGCAGAATGAGAGCACATCAGAAAAAACTGAAAATTTGAATAGAAGTTAGGAAAAAGAATAGAGAACAGGCCACCCAAGAATGAAATTAAGCCAAGAAATCATACGGCCCTGACTGAATAAAAAGGTTACTGACTCGAAATATTCGAAAAAATTGTTAGTTTACTGTATTGACGATAGCCAAGGCGGTAACATTCAAACTTTTTTTATAAAAATAACCAATTTTTGAGCCAACATTTTGTTTTTTCAGGCACAAAAATTTGGCCTGTATTTTTGGTGAACTTTGACAGAGCGTAAATTAGTTTTTCGACTGGTGTGACATGTTTTGGCAATATGAAACCATTCCGAAGTGAAGTATGCTCCAATCTCCAATTTCTTCATTGAGCGACTTATGCTTTGTTAGTTTGTTGCCTGTAGAACTTGGCAATGACATTCTTGATTTGTCGCTTGATTCCTTCTGCGGATGCTCCTATTTTTCTACTTTTTTTGCCAAAGCGTGTTTTGCATTTCTGCATTTCTACTTGGAATTGAATCCACTTAGACAGCATAATTTCCAACGACATGCGGCAACTTTAACCTGTTTCGTTGTGCTCCCAATTATCTTGGAACTCCCGGAAATGTTTCCTAGAACAAGCAACAGAAAGATAGAAGTGCCTTTCCAAAAAGCAGATGATCAAAATCAGAGTGGGTTAGAGAAAAACTCCAGGAAGACATGCACTTGATTTTGGAATGGTGCATCAACTGGAAGATGAAGATCAACCCAACCTAAACCCAAGCCATCCTTTTTCGGAGGACAACTTGACCCCACCGGTCAATGTTAACATCGGAGAAGAAGAAATAGCATTGTCTAGGGATTTAAAGTACCTATTCCTATCTCTCAATAATGGGAATTTATCCGATATCTCTTCAATGAAAGCGAAATAAAATCTCTCTCTCTCTCTCTCCGTATTTTGCCAGCAACAGCCGGTGCCGAGAAAAGCTTGAATTGATTAGTGTCTATTAGTCCAGTGACGTTGTGGTTTCACTTAACAATTTTGAAGTAAGAAGCTGAAAATTGATATACACCTTCAATTTGACGTTCTAATAGTTGTCCCAAAAGTCACAATAAATGTGGCCAAGGCTTCTTTAGTTATTACAGGTTAAAGGTCAAAGAAATCGTTTTCTAGCGATTATCTTGGTTCCTATTGCTCCAACGATATAAGCACCTATTACAAAAGTTAGAGATAATAAAATTCCTAAGCACTTTTGTCCCAAACTTTTTTAAATAAAATGAACAGTTCTTGAGATAGAGCGCGACGAGTGGTTAGCCCTATGCTCAAGATTTTGACCAATAAATTAAAGGGACCTAACGGTGAATTTTTGCATAAACGTTGTTGTTATGGGTCTAAATAATTGGTGAAAATTTCCCATCGATTCGGTGATTACTTGGGCCGTTACGGAGGGTCAAAGGTCAGGAATGCGTTTCTCAATATTTCGAAAACGGTCAACTTTTTCAAAAATTTCTTAAAAAAGTTATAGATCATTAAATTTTCTCCAAATTTGGTCTTAGGTATATTGCTCTACAATTAGCCCTTCTTGAGATACAGATTAAACAAATATGAGGGGTCATTCTCGAAATGGGGGGAAACAAACTCATACACACCTTCATTTGGCCATGCTGAAAGTTGGCCCAAAAGTCTAATAAAATCACGTGTGCGTGTCGTAAGTTATGTCGGGTCAAAGGTCACAATTTTTTTAAAAAAGTTGATCATTTTGGAGATATTGATAAACGCATTCCTGACCTTTGACACTCCGTAACAGCCCAAATAATCACCGAATCGATGGGAAACTTCCACCAATTATTTAGATCCATAGCAACAACATGTACGCAAAAATTCACCGAGGTCCCTTTAATTTATAGGTCAAAATCTGGAGCATAGGGCTTACCACTCTTCGCGCTCTATCTCAAGAACGGTTCATTTTATGAAAAAAAGTTTCGAACAAAAGTGCTTAGGAATTTTATTATCTCTAACTTTTGTAAAAGGTGTTAATATCGTTGGAGCTATAGGAACAGGGATAATCGCAAAAAAACCGATTTCTGTGACCTTTGACCTGCAATAACTAAAGAAGCCTTGGCTACATTTATTGTGACTTTTGGGACAACTATTAGAACGTCAAATGAAGGTGTATACCAATTATCAGCTTCTTACCCTAAAATTGGTAGGTGGACCCCTGTTTTATGCTTAATTAACTGCACTATATGGGATTTTTAGAACGTGAACAATTTAGGTGCGAGCAGAAGTGGCAGCTTGCGGGAAGCGTGGAGTGAAATATAAAAAAGCAGGGGTTGGCTCTTCGTTTTTGGGTGACCGTGTTGCAGTTTTCGAAATCGCAGAAAAATTTCTTTTTCATGATTTCGACAGAAGTTGTTATGTTTAGTTTGCGCATAGGTGTAAAGATGGCATGAAATGGACGATGCTTGCGCTCGTAACAGTTAACAAGTCAATGCCACAGGAGCAATATAATTAGTTTTCTCCGATCTTGAAGAACCGTTAATCTTGTCTTTTTGTGGTCTAAGAGACATTCCAAATCTCAGATAGTAAGCACTTGCTGCTTTTCTCTTAGATGTTTTAAATCTGAATGAGCCAAAACCAATCGTGGTTAAATCAGAGCACTGAGGTAAGGCTGCTATTTTTTGTAGATTCGGCAGATTATCGTCATAATGAGGTTTCTTTAGTCACACCTGCGAGATTCAAAATAAACTAGTGCGTCTTTCTCTTCTGGCTTATAGAAATAAAAGAATATATAAAAGGACACGACTAGCGGTACTTTATTTATCTAGTATTCTACAAATGCTGGAAGAGAGTGAGAAAACCCCCATTAAGTTGAAATTGCTCGCTGTCTGTCTTTGTAGTAGATTCAAAATTTGAAAAAAATGCACTAGTACATTTCCAAATTGAAAGCTGCCCAACGCCGAGAAGTAAGGTTAGGCTTTACGTTTATAATGTAAGCACTTACCAACTTATTACTTGACAATAATTAACTTACTTTTATGTATAAATATAACCAGCGGAATATAATAACCCTTGGCCTTTTGACATCACATATTTTTTGTATAGCCCGTAGGTAGGTCAAATTAGCAATTAAACCGCCAGTTCTACAACAGGTATATTTGGCAATTTCGTTCAGAAGTCTGGTAAGACTCAAAATGTTGAAGACACCACGAGAAATATGAGCTAAGCGACCACGTTTGATGTCAGCCTGCGGGACCAGATGGGACCCCTCAGGTCGTACGCTATACCTTGAAGGGGGTGTGACCCTAAAAAACGACTTAAGCTAAATCAACAAAAAAGTTCTGAGATCTCTCGTGAAAACCGCAATCCTATATTCAAAATAGTCTCCGAAAAAATTCCTTGTGAAGATAAATTATGCAGGAACTTGTGATGTCACAACCACCGAAATCGCAGTCTTCTGTTCGTTCAGTCATCAGTGAACCGTACCCTATACTTTGAGTGGTTGCAATTCGCTCTAGGAGATAATTGTCTTTTGTTTTGGAAAATTCTTACACGTGTTAATACTGTCCCTGATAATCCAGTGTGACGTCACAAACACCTAGTTGTAACTTTAAACCACCCTAACTCGAAAACGGACCATCGTAGCAAGATGCGGTTTAAATATTTATTCTTAGATTTCTCTGCACTAAAACTTTAATTTTTGGGTCACACCCCCTTTAATGATTATAGAATGTGCACTCTACATACCTCAAATTATGTTCGAGGGAAAAATGCAAGCCAATTCTCTAGATAAAGCATTGTAACACTTTTGAGAATCATCGTGTGTATGCTCGAATCTTTGTAATATTGTATATTATGACAATGTACGTTCGCAATGGATCAATATCTACTAGTGAGGATGTAACTAAATATCATGTCATGTAGTTTATTTTTGCTTCTCTCGGATAAGATTTTTTTCTAACACATACATTCAAGTACCCAAAAAACAAGTTACGAAAAAATCAATAGTACCTTGGCTACCTGCTATTGCTAGCAGTTCCATAATGTGTTTTAACTCCGATATGCCTAGGAGTTTGCCTTCTTTCAGCTAGTGGTGACACATCATTTGATTCAGTACTCGAATCTCTATCTTTATTTCTGTATAAATCCGCGACCAGAAGTGTCTCATAGCCTATATACCCGACTCCCGAATGTCTATCTCCGCGGTCTCTGACTCTTTGTTTTGGATGTCTATAGCTTGTTGAAGATGTTACAGCCGTAGTACCCTCTCGTCCACTACCACTGGTATCTTCGGAATCCGAATCTTCGTGGATTTCTCGGTGAACTTGTGATCGATATAGAATGTGGGTTGGTTGTGGAATTATTGCACCTAAATAGATAATAAAATACATTACCTAAAAAAAATTTTTAGGGGTTGTAATCAAGTACTTATTCGCATTAAGCTACTAGAAAGTAGCAACTAACAAGTTAAAGTATGTAATATAATTTCACACTTTTGAGTCTTGTAACACAAAGTTAAAAAATGCAAAATTATTTACAGCAGAAATTGAAATCAACATAGGTACATAAGCTATTTCAAAACCACAGTGATTTACTTATTTTTAATTAACCATTTAATTATGGCATCGTAAAAACGTGGAAACGAATCAAAGTAAATTAATCGGGTTGTGCAATGGTTTAATTAATTTTGAAATGTGACGTTTATCAACATTTCTCGTCTTGATATCTCTATAAATAATTCGATTGGTTTTATTGAATAATAAATTAGGTTACATGTTTTGGTTCAAACAAATTATATCGATTTATTTTCATTTTTAGATTATAACAAATAACATAATTTATGTTTTTTTTTTCACTCACAAAGCTTGCTTCCCTGCAAAGCGTTTTTTAGGAATAAATGCTTCATCCATCTGTGGTATTAGGTCATTGGTAATAATTTTTTTGATCATCATCATTATGTTCAGGATAAATTTATTCAGTTCCTATGTATATGCCTCTAACGACAGAATATTGCAAGTCATAATAAAAACTGATAACGACAGTACCTATCTAATACTTCATAGGTGCCTACCGACCCGATATAAGCAAGGAGCGAGAGATTAGAGAAAATTTCTATAAAGAATCACAAGCAGTAATCGAAAAAATCAGAACACAGGATAAAATCGTTTATTTGGGAAACTCACATGCTAGAATTTCAAATGAACCATTGTAACTCAGATATTTGATGAAGTAGAATACCTATAATGGCAAAATATAAGAGGACAACAATCTGTGATAGATTGGGCATATCATCGTTTATGGAATAATTACTTCACAGAGTATACCGGATGTAAAAAGACCTGATGTAACTAATGCGTATCCACTCGGCAAATGAGATACATACCCATCACACCTAACCACATTACATATTCAAATATAATATTGAATCATTGAAGACGAAATTGTGAAGCAGTCAAATAAAAATAGATTTAAAGAGAAGATGACACTAAACCCTATCAAGAGTGGAAAAACGCAGACGCATAATTGAGAACTCTAAAAAAATATCTTTGGCTTACACTCGGGATAACGGATTAATGTGACGACAAGAAAAGCACCTACTAAGTATCCAAGAAACATAAATCAAGAAAACTGAATACCATATAAAATAGAACGGGATAGAGTAGATACTAGAATAAAAGGGAGAAAAGAAGGACATTGGGAGAGATTCACAAAAGACATGGACACAGAGATATGAGGAATGTTAAGAAGAAATAAATTAAAAATGATGCACAGGCCATTGGCCAATAAAATGAAGATTAGAAAAAAATAAAAATAAAAGCTATGTAAAGAAAACGACGGAAGTGAATAGTCATTGATCGGGGGAGAAGAAGACAATGATGACACTGTAAAACATTTTGAACATAGAAATAGCCAGGTGATGCTGTAATAACAAACGAAATGTCGGAAGACTAACAGGGAGAAGCTCAAAAAAATAAATACTAACTCTTTTCAGTAACATCAAACAGATCAGACTAACATCAAAAGTATGCAAAAGTAGCACAAAGATCCCCATATTAGAAAAAGAACAGAAACAATCCCAGATAATTATCGCGGAGTAAGAACCATTATCGATGAAATCTTAATTGTCCAACAAATAGCAGAAACATGGAAAATAAACCAAAGATCAATAAATATGATAGCTAAATAAGTACGAGATCAATAGCAACTAAGATGTACAAAAACGTACCTACATAAATACGGAAGCGCGATTTACTTAGCCTGTTCATATTTACCATGATTATGGATAAAATAATAGAGTTGATAATCTATCTGAACTAGCAGAGTAGACAAAAAGTCAGGATTCAAGGCTTGTTTGCTACGCTGCTGAGAATACGTTGTTTATTGCTGACTGAGAAGACCTACCTACTTCTCTATGTCATTAATCAAACAGCAAAACTATTAGGTAGGTATGGTCATCAACTCGGACAGAAACAATTAGTATCCAGTACCATCTAAAAAGTCGACAAGAAGCAAGTTCAAGATTGAGGGAGATTGCCAAGCAAGTACCAACATAATTTCAAATATCAGGAAGCTGAAATAACAAGCTCTGGAAATTAATGTCAGAGGATAAACGATGGAAGCATCTCAAGTTTCAGAATGCGTGAGATATATCGTATGGAGCAAGAAACATACGAACACAGACTGTAAAAGAGAAACTTATGAGACAGAAATATGACCCATCATAACATGAACAGCTGAAACGAGACACTTCCAAGATATAGCAAATTATGCGAACACCGTATACACTCGAACAATCGAAATACACTTTGTGCTTTTTCTTTAATTGTTGAATATTACGTTTTTAACTTTTTTCTTAAAAATTTCCGGTTTTGAAATTTTAGGAACTAGGAATAATATTGTAAAGTTCATAAATATTATTGGTAAAACTTCTTCCAAAAAAATTAGTTTTGTGAGGTGGTGGATAAATAAGCCCTCTAAATCCTAGATACAAACCGTGAACATCTGTTCTATACGTTATTTTATTTGTTAAGTATGGAGGACAAGCATTTAATATAATATTATGAAATCACACTAAGCAATGTGACTTACGTCTGCTTTGCATATTCAACCATTTGTTGTTTTCAAGTTTGTGGGAAACCGGATTCAATTTTCTTATACCATATCATATAGAACGCAAACAATTATTTTGTACTACATATTTCAATTCTGTCTATATCAACTATATCTAAACGCGGTCCATATAAAACATCACAATAATTGAAATGATAGAACAGAAATTTAAGTTTTAGTTTTTCGTTAATATATTTTCGATGAGGATACAAATTTTAAAGACACGTATGCCCTTTGCAGACAACACCCAACTTGCGGCTTAAAACGTAATTCTGTTTCAAATCTAACGCCTAAATTTTTTGCATACTTAGTAAACTCAAGTTTTCCATTAGAAATATTTATATTGACATTGTTAATAACTCTAGACGGCTTATTCTCTCTCTATCGCTCTTGAAACGCAGATATCGGTTATTCCATAACAATAGTTCGGGAGCACACAATATATAATATAGCTCCCCTGGCAATCTTAATGAAGGGGAGGTGCCAGTGGTGTCGTGTTATCAGAAAAATTATGTAGTTCAATAATTTGTATGATGACACCGTCACAGATGTTGCGTTTGTTTGGATTAACTTATTTTTATCAATAGAAAATATGGTCTACGCCATATTAGTTTATGTGTTTAACGAAATTTACCTGATATATTTGCACATACATTCTAAAAAAATTAAAAATCGGCCACATCACTATCATCTTCATCACTATCTCCGTCGGCAAAATCAGGTGGATACAAATTATCACAAGTTGAATGGTCCGCATTACAACTACACGTTTTTATGCAAGTCATTTATTCCAGCGAGTGAAGAACTTACTGCTTTGCAGAAACTTGGTACCAGTGAATTAATAGGTACCTGATGATGTTTTGTATTAGCTGGAAATATTTATTTGCCAGGTTTATTAAGCAAGCACTTCAACAAAATCACTCGCAGAATTACGGTAGTCAATGTTCACTGCCAAACGAGCCCTTGGAGAAAAGCTACCCCCACTAGAGGTTTCCTTGTACCCGCAATCAAGAGAGCTAACCTTGAAGCATTTGCGTGGTCAAGAACCATGTGCTCTAGAGTCTCATCTTCAACTAATTAAATGTTGTGTCTAAAGAATCGATGTTCACCACCATGTAAATGTTTAGTAAACATTATGCCTTGCACAGAAATGTGTAGTTGTAATGCAGGAGCATCATAATGAATAGAATGGCAATGAATGTCTTTTTCCAGTGCTGCCTTGGGCTTCGTTTGTTATTGTTGTGGACTGGCTGTTGTTCAGTCTGGGCATTTGACAATATTGGAATTAAGTGATGCGTAGATCTCTTTATAGTGACCACTCTAACAGTTGTGTCTTTACCTGGATGCACTTCAGTGATTCTTTCTAGTGGCCATTTGCTTGGGGTTGATATTCTGATCCTTTACTAGAACTAAATCTCCAATTTTGAGTGAATCCTGGTGATTCTTCCACTTGTAACGCTGCTGAAGTTGATGGAGATAGTCATTTGTCCAGCACTTCCAGAAATCTTTCTTAATTTTCTCAACTAGTTTCCATCTCAACAACGTCCCAGTGTATGTTTGTAGTTATTGGATCGAGAAAAGATATAATTTATCTCCCAATTAGAAAATGACCTGGAGTAGATGTTGCTAAATCATCTGGATGATCTGATAATGGGCACAGGGTCGAGAGTCAGTGGCGTAGCCCAACCAAAAATGGACGTCGGCGACATCCGAATTGCGACGCCCTTTTTATGTAGGGTGGCAGTGGCAGATCCTCCACAGGGAGGCGGGGGGGAAGGGTGGAGGGGGTAATTACCTCCCTCTCAGAGAGGCGTAAGAAAATTTTAATTATTAAAAAACACACAAATTATTTTTTTGGAACCTTTTTGTTTAAAGTTGTGGCACCCGAAAAAAATCCCCCAGAATGGCATAGATCCGCCACTGTGACTGTAGGGTGGCCATATTTCTTGTGACAAAAAGCTAGATATAACGACAGGGACGGGGAGCCGCTGGCAGGCCCGCCGAAAGCGAGAATCTTTTGAGAGTCACGCCCCTTTTTTCGGGCTCAGAAATCCTTCCAAGCAAATAGTTATTTTTTATACAAGACGATAAAATGGTAGTTTATCGTTGACCGGGAAAGTTAATTCACGAGCGGAATCGCGAGTGAATTAATTCCGGGAGACGATAATGGCATTTTATCGTCGTGTGTAAAACAAAGTTTTTTTCCATAGTCTAATTATGAACGCCTGTAGTATCAAAAATATTTAGAAATTATTTGAG